GGAAATTATTCACAGGAAAAACTAGGTTATCCTAGAGTGATGGTTTCAACCTGTGGGTCTAATCCAATATCTAATAATCTAAGATCATAGGAAAACACAAATATTTACATTACTAATCATAACTAGCAAAATTACAGTTATGAAGTAGCATCGAAAATAATTTTATGGTTGGGGTCACCACAACATGAGGAACTGTAATAAAGGGTCGCAGCCTTCAGAAAGCTGAAAATCACTGTCCTAGAGAAACATATGCTGTTTCAGCTGTGGCTAGAACTCCTTTGGGAATATACTGAAATCTAGGTGGCTCACACCTGCAATTCCAACACTCATGACACTGGGTTCTGGGTTACAGAGTAAGATTTTTATTTAAAAAGAAAAAAAAAAGGTCAGTAGTGGCACAGGCCTTTAATCTCAGCACTCAGGAGGCAGAAGCAGACATATTTCTGTGAGTTCTATGACAGGCTCTAAAGCCACACAGAGAAACCCTGTCTCATGGGCGTGGGGGGGTTGAGGGTAGGGGGAGGAAAAGAGAAGGCCAGGTGTGGTGGCACACACTTTTAATCCCAGCACTGGGAGGCAGTGGCAGGTGGAGTTCTTTGAGTTCGAGGTCATCCTGATCTACAAAAAACAAAAGCTTAAGGATTAAGAACACGGGTGGCTCTTGCAGAGGGGAGAGCAGGGGTTCTGTTCCCAGCACTCACACACACACACACACACACACACACACACACACACACACACACACCACACACACACACGGCAGCTCACATCACAGTAACCCCAGTTCCAGGGGATTGTACACTCTGCTGCTCTCTTCTGGCACCAGGCATGGATGCATGCAGGCAAAACATTCATGCACATAAAATAAAATTGATTTAAATATTAAGGGGTGTAGGAAGATTCAACAGTTAGTGGTGCGTGACGTTCTTTGGGGATTTTTGTTTTTGTTTGTTTGTTTTTACAAGACAGGGTTATAACAACTCCGGCTGTCCTGAAACTCACCCTGTATACCAGGCTAGCCTTGAACTCACAGAGATCCACCTGCCTTTGCCACCAGAGGGCAGGGATTAAAGGCGTGCGCCACCACCACCCGATCTAGATAATGTTTCTCTGTGTAGTACTGACTGTCCTAGAACTCACAGAGATCCACCTGCTCTGCCTTCCAGTGCTGGATTAAAGGCCTGAACCACCTGGGATAAATAAGTGCCACCACCACCCGCAAATAAAATCTTTAAAAATTACACAAAAAATTGTTTGGAGAAGTGTGTGTGTGTGTGTGTTTGGGTGGCTGTTTTGAGCTCCATCTTTTAATCGGCCACTCAATCACTGTGGTGATAACTAAACCACATCTATCCCTGGAACCTCGATTTCACACAGATGTCATGTGGAGAAGTTATGTGTGTGTGTGTGTGTGTTTGGGTGGCTGTTTTGAGCTCCATCTTTTAATCGGCCACTCAATCACTGTGGTGATAACTAAACCACATCTATCCCTGGAACCTCGATTTCACACAGATGTCATGTGGAGAAGTTAGAGAAAATCCTGTTTTCACACCATCCAGCTTTGTGTCTCCTCTACAGTCGGTCACGTTGCAGTCTATTTGTGCTGATTATGGTTGTGACAGCCTCACTAGGTGTAGTGCTGGCTGGTCTGGAACTTACTAGTAGAACAGGCTAGCCTTGACTTTGGGTCAGTCTTTTGTCTCAAGAGTGCTGGGATTACAGGGGTGGCCTACGACGAAGGGCTTCAACCTATCTAGATCTAACTATCATCTATTTATTTATAATTTTTATCAATTTATTTAACTTTATCTCATGTGCAGTGGTGTGAAGGTGTCAGATCCCCTGGAACTGGAGTTACAGACAGCTGTGAACTGCCACATGGGTGCTGAGAATTGAACCCGGGTCTTCTGGAAAAATAACCAGTGCTCTTAACCACTGAGTTATCTCTCCGGCCCCTATTTATTTATTAATTATTTTTGATAGGGTATCACGACATATATATATCTGGCTTGCAAATTGCGATGTAGAGCAGGCTGACCTTGAACTCACAGAGCTCTGCCTGCCTCTCCTCCTGGTGCTGCAATTAAAGTGTGTGCCACCACAGCAAGCTACAAATTAGATTTAAATGCTTTCTTTTTCTTTTTATTCTCTTGAGGCAGATCTCTCTATATAGCTCTGATTGCCCTGGAACTTGCTATGCAGACTAGCTAGACTGGACTTGAAATACTGGAACTAAAGACATGTACAATCCACATTCAGTTTAAAAATTCTTTTTAGGGCTGGAGAGATGGCTCAGAGGTTAAGAGCGTTGTCTGCTCTTCCAAAGGTCCTGAGTTCAATTCCCAGCAACCACATGGTGGCTCACAACCATCTGTAATGAGGTCTGGTGCCCTCTTCTGGTCTGCAGCCATACATGCAGACAGAATATTGTATACATAATAAATAAATATTTAAAAAAAACATAAAAATTCTTTTTAGGGCTAGAGAGGTGGTATAGATGTTAAGAGAACTGGCTGCTCTTTCAAAGGACCTGGGTTCAATTCCCAGCTCCCACATGACAGCTCACAACTGTCTGTAATTCCAGTTCCAGGGGACCTGACATCCATGGTAAAACATCAATGCACATGATAAAATAAAATAAGTAGGAAACACACACACACACAATTCTTTTCACACAATTCTTTTTTTTTTTTTTTTTTTTTTTTTTTTT